CTAATGTACACACTACTGCAACTTAAAAGGGCATTTCCTGACGTATTCCCTTTAGATATAGTTGATAAAATCAGACAATGCAAAGACAGATAGGAATAAATAAAACATTCACCATAAAGAGCAAAAATTACCTTTAGCAGGGTTTACTTTTATCCCTGACCTATACAGCATCTCCTCATTCTGCCAGTCTCCATTTCTGACAACAGTCTTGAGTCCATAGAAAACAATTAATGCAGCAGTGGAACAAAAAACCAAGTTCTTCAGAAAGCGCTTTTGGGCTTTGACATAAAGGGCCCTGACACCTACTGTAACCAGCAGGCAGAAGCCCATGCTAGGAACATACAGCACACGCTCTGCTATTACAAAGCCAACATAGAAAAATAGGTTTGTGGCAGGAACAAAGGGCACTATTAACAAAGACAGAGACAGAATGACAATGTTCTCAGTTGAAGGAAGCTGCAGTTTCTGCATTTCGTGTTTTTTTATACCATTCTCTTCTTTTGATGCAAAGCTTGACTTCACCTCCAGTGTCTTGTACTCCATCTCTGAGTGGCAGCTATGCCCATTAGCATTCTGCTTGCCGTTCATTACAGTTCTCCCGTTGCATTCTCTCTCATTACCAGAGCCCTTCAAGCTAAAGTAGGCAAGGAGGAGGAGTCCAGCATAGAAGGCCACAGTGTGTAGATTCCTCCAGTCGCTGACTGCTTTCAGAAGAGGCACAGCATCCATAGACCAGTCAAAGCTGAGGGTGTCTGGGCACAGCAACAGCCAGAGGTTCTTAGTGGGCAGGTAAAAGAAGGTCAGCGTACGTGTGAGAAAACTGTCCGAGTCAGCTGCTGGATTGTCTGAATTGGAAAAACTTGGGGGCTTGTTGCCCATCCAGTATAAGCGGACACCCAGCAGTGCAGTCCCCCAGGAGGTCAATAAACCAATGCTGAAGAAGAGAGTCAAATTCTTTCGCTGAAAGAAAAAAAAAAATCATCAGTATAAATCAACACCAGGTGTTTAATTCTGTAAATTATAAACAAAAGGAACCGAGAAATATCTGATACAACTTTTTTTTCTTTTGGTAATGGAAACAAGCACTATAGATCTTGGTCTCTGCAATTTGGGTCACAAAATGTTGGCGTATGATGTTGACCATAGACTAAAAGAACAGACTCTTTCATTTAAGCTATATCAAGCCTGTATCAGAGTCAAGCATTTAGAGATCTTAGGGATGTCAGTCCTTGCTTAAGATTTAGTTGTGTAACTCTTTGAAAACTCTTTAATTTAGAGGCATTTTTGGAACCTTACAATGGTTCCTACATAACCTCCCAAATCCTTTCTTTGCTCCCGGTCATGGCCAGTTTGCCTTAACTATTTTTAAAGTTTAAAGCATGTTCCAGTTCTGTTTCCCATAATTAAAGTCTCTCCTAAGGTATTTCACCTGAGAACCAAATAAACTTTCCAAGAAGGCAAGAGAGGAAAACAGACAGATTCCATGTTTAGGCCTTCCACCTCCTACCTATTAACTACAGTGATCATTTGGAGACTTCAGATCTGCCTACTGCTGAAAGCCCCACTTAATTTTGCATCTCACAGCCAAACAATATATTGGTTTTTTTCTTCAAGCACACCATATTAAATAAGTGGTCTAAAAAACCTGTCACAATTTGATACCCATCTAAATAATATTATGTGAAGCACACAGCTGCCTACACCTACCCATGTCATCATGCTAGCAACTCAAAGAACCTCCACTTATTTATGGAATAATTCAACATTTGCCAGCTGGAACTGCTTGTTGGGTTCCCCCCTGCTGCATCCGAAAACGCTTACTTATTCAAATGTTTGCAGAAACATCACTTCTAAATGAGAATCAGGAAGCAAGATTTTCTCACCTATTTCTAGGACTGATGAGCTTAAGTTCTGCTCTCAATTACACAGGCGCCTTAAATGAAAGCTGTTTTGGATTACTCTCTCTTTGCAGAAGAATCTGTAAAAGCTAAAGTATGCTTATTTTTATGTTTCAATTTCTCAGATGCCTTATGTAAAAAAAAAAAGAAAAACTATTTGCCAAATAGCTCCAGATACAGTATAAGCACTTTGATAATATTTCCCACCATTATTACAAAGAATTATTTGTCAATCTTCTTTTATTTTATTCAGTCTGGTTTTTTCCATCTCACACTACACATTCCTGGGATGGTTATTCAATGTTTCCTCAGTTATTCAAAAACAGGACCTCACACTGGAATGTTTTATCATATTTCTTTCAAACAGCTCATTTTTCTCCTCTGTGTGGGGACTCTCCCATTGATATCATGAAATACAGATGATGGTGCTGCTCCATTTTAGGTCATTTCAGTTTTCTACCATCAGGTTACTGACGTTCCAGTAACAAGACATGGTCTAGTCATCATAATTTGTCTGCTTATCTCATAAAGAAATGTAGTCCTTTTCATATTTTTATAGCTTCTCCTTCTGAAGATTAAAATATTCAATGGCAGTTAGATTAATTCATTCAATTTTGAGATAATATGGAAGAATTCAATGGAGGTGTTAGTAGAGAACAAATTTATGATGAGAATATTTACGTACTTGTATCAGAATGACCTAAAAAATGCTGGTGCTTTTTATAGATGAAGCAAAGCCTGAGACCACATATTTCATTTGCCATGTTAATTCCAGTTTGATTTATTAATTTTTATATATTTCTATATCCTGGGAAATCAACAATTTTTTTGTAATAAATCAGTCAAAACCCTTATCTACACTTCATGATCAATATATTCCCTGGAAAGCCTACTGTAACAACCTACAGCTTACTTGTAAGCTGGACAATACTTCACAACTCATCTCAGATACTGTTTCATCCCCGCCTGCCAGGGCTGTTTAAATGCTTTTAATGTTATAAAGCTGTGTAAACTGGTTATCACCAAAAGTCCCAACTAAGTTTATATTTGGAATAAAAAGATGATTCAGATTTCATGGATTAGCATGTACGCCCTCACAGTAAAACCTTATATTCCTGGTTCAACTTGTCCTTTCATTCCTGTCATATTTTGCAACAAGAAAATTCTTCTTCCCAGCCCTCGGGCTTAATTATTTTCAAACTCATTTCCTTCAAACATGCATATAAACAACTCTCAAATGTTAAATGTGACCTTTTTTGCTGTTTTTATACATCCTTCTACAGTGTCTTAGGAGGAGGCTGGAAAGTGAAGGATGGGGGGTTTTGTTTGTTTGTTTTAATTAGAAATTCAGAGCAGGTCTTTGCTGGAAGACTATATACCACTGAAAGATTAAGACATCCCAAGTACTAAACAAGTGAAACTTGATTAACAGATGAGAAGTGAGTTTTCACGGACTGCTATTTTGTTAATACTTACTTAACAACTGACAGAAAATCTCCCTTTCCTAAAGCTCTAACAAATACGCTTTTCAATTAAATGCTGAGAAAGTTCACATTCAAGTTCTTCAACAAAACTATGCTAGAGCAGATATACCGTTCCTCATGGATAATAGAGAAACCTGCTAAAAACTTTCAGACCTTCTTCATAGATCATAAAATAGTAACAATGAAAAGCCTGCCTCTTGCTCCTAGCCCTAGAACACAAGCAATCTGTACCCTCAGAGCTAATCCATCCTCCCTGCTGGAGTAACTATTTACAGCCTCTTAAGCTTAAATTTAAGATTTGTGAAGTCCAGATCCTCACACTTCGTGGTTCTACAAAGAACATGACATATCTATATGCAGTATTATGTTTCATGCTTTAACAGAACTTTATTATTTTTACAAAACATTTTACATCAGTGTCAAATGAAATGTCTAAGCATTCACTTGTGGAGCTCAGAGATACTACAGTAGGTGATATTTCACACCAGATAACTAACACTAGTTATCATGCTGTAAAATACTAGTTAACTAGAGAAGGAGCTCTGGTGGATTCTTTAGCTTAGTTAACTGACCACAGGAGCAGAATGCAAGTATCCTCTTGTTGCCTTAGACACAAACAGTTTGCATCCTTCCCCAGAAGCTTCCAGACATGGATCTTCTCAAAAGCCAGTAGCTGTACATCTTTTTAAAATTAACTACACATTAACTACAGCTACCAATACCTGTGTAAGACTGACATGTCATTGTGAATTTTCAGATTTCAGAGGAGATCCTCTGGACTCAGTCTAAAACCAAGACTAAAACTGTCTCTAACACTTAAACTTCAAGTCACACAAATTTAAAGTAGGATGCCGGATGCCTTTTTTTTTTTCCTTCCTTTTTTTTTTTTTAATCACACATAGATAGTGCTGGCTCAGAAGAGGAATGACAAATTAATTGTCCTTTTTTCCTCCCTCAACACTCATGACTTTTGCACAGCTTTTATCCCTCTATAATAATATAGTCAGAGATAATTAGAAAGGTTTAGCTCACATTTTGGCTTTACTTTCTTCCAGGCGTTGTATAGCAAACCAAAGGAAAAAAAAAAAACACCCCGGTTGCAGCAATTTATTAAAATAAAATAATATCATCAGTTCCCCAGTAGACTTTTGCCTACAAAGAAAGTGCTTTCAGAATGAACTCTGCTCAGAGAAGCACTTTCACTAGCAACTCTTCCTCTGAGCCTCTTGACAGCCTGTGCTCCTCTGACTGTGTACATTTAGTGTAGCCCAGCAGCAGGAAGAGATCCTCTGTAATGCTTGGCAGAAAGGATTTGGATTACTGTACTCATGAGTCCTAATCCAGCCCATCTGCCATATGTTTTGACACCCCCATAAATCCTCTAACCTTTCATAAGTAGTCATTTTCATCTGGGGAAAAAATGAGCACTGATTTAGATCAGATTTAACATCTCTCCTGCCTGCTAACAGTCAAGTACCACCACTGCAATTTTAGTGTTTGTGACTGCAGAAGCTTTTTTCATCTCCCTACCAAAATCCATCTGCATGACCCACCCACATAGCACATTTCCCTTGCATTAAATCCTAATTCCTCACTCCATTATACTGCTCTTAAATAAGGCATTGCAGCAGATTTCTTGATTGGGTAGCCCCTGCCAAAGCTCAGTCATCACCTAAGCTGTATCCAAAGCATTTTCAAAAGACACTATTCTTTTAACCTCACCTTGTCTATTTCACAAAGCAGCATTAAATATGGCACATGATCAAGACAGTCCAGATATCAAAATCACCAGGGCTAACCACACACAAAATGCTATTTTTAGAACTCAGGAAATGCAAAAAATAAAGTGGTTAAGTCACCAGGCATTATGCTCAGGAGTTTCTTTTCCAACTCCTTGAAAATATGCTGGCTTGAGAACTGGGGCTTCCTGAAGCAGCAACATGCTGCCAAATCACTAGACTGACAGTATCTTTTTTCCATGATAGGTAGAGGCTCCCAGATCACAGCTCAGCCGCATTTGAGTTGAACGAGAGTTTAAAACGTATCCGCACCAGGGACGAAGCTATTTGCCACAACCCCTGCTGGGCTGTAGTACTCAGCTGGAAGTGGCCTCTATCACTCCCTCTCCACCTGCCCCGTTGGTCCCTGCTTGCATGACCCACTACATGAGGTTTATTCATTTACATTGGTGATACAACAGCTGGCTTAAAGGTCTGTTTTAACTCTGAGTTGGAAATCTGTCCACAGCTTACCCAATGTTGTGACCAATTGTACATACCAAATGACATTTACTTCTAGTGTTCTGAATCTACACAATTCTTCCTCAACTGGGAAATCAGTGCCTTTGTAAAACACTTGAAGATTATGTGTACATATTGTACATTGTAATTAGCAAGCAGCACAAGCTAAGCAGTCCTTGTTGCTGTTGACTTGCCTTAACTAGAATTTAAATCAAGTTATAAATACTCGATTTAATTTATATACTCGATACAATTTATATAATATAAAATTGCCCTAAGTCTTCCTCTAAAATCTTTCATTCTTTAACATGAATCTTTAAATTAAAAAAAAAAAAACA